TCTTCTTACCTATATTCTCTACTTCTTAACTTTAGTCCTCACTCTTTCATGTTATCTTCTAAAAAGCAGACTGAGTAGATATTCCTAGAAGGAGATATTCTCTTCGAGAGAAGTCCAGATTTAGAAAGACATCTTAAGCCTATGAAATACAAATCCTGTAAGAAAGTGGGAGACGAGATCACTGAGCTGCCTACAACGTACAAAGGCCATATTTTCTCCCTTTTAATCCACACCAGGTATTACTTGCATCCTGCAAATGAAGAAAATGAAGCTCACAGAGGTTAAGTAAGGTGTCTGAAGGAGCACCGCCAGGAGATGGAGGAGCTGGGATTCAAAACCACAGCTGTCTATTTCCTAAATTGTTAGGCTTTTCCCAAGTTTAATCCCCTAATGTATTTAGTGCCCCAATTCTGTTTTAATTCAAGTGGTTTTGTATTTCAGCAATTTGCCTTACTCCCATGAACTCAGCATAAGTACCTGTCACGAAATTTTATTGACTATTAAACATCTATTATTTTCAATAAGTGCTTCAGCTACGTAGAAATGAAACATCTGGCAAGTTATCTTTATTTTTAAATCCAATATAACAGAGACTTCCCAAGGCATTTCTCCTATCCAACACTCATCTTAACTAGATTGACGTACCTCTCCAACTTCCAGTTGTTTCCACATTATCATTTATTTGTCCACTCAGGAAATGAAGCTAATTTCACCACCCTCCCTCATGACTCCTGACAGATAATACAGCAGAGGGGGCCTCTCTGTAAAGTAATTTACATAAAAGTTATAAAAGCTCTTTGTTATCTGTCATGACTAGGAAATGGGCTATTCTAGCAAATCAAACAAATCAAACATCCTGAATAACATAATGATGCTTTTAAAGGGACTACCAATTTATAAAGGATTTCAAAGCAATACTACAACAGTGGCTCCCAAACCTGCTACAAATCAGAATCACCTGGGGAGCTTTTTGGCACCAGATGCCAGAGAGGTTTTTAAAATGTAGATTCTGGGGCCGACCGAGTGGCTCAGTTGGTTAAGAATTGGCTTAAGAGCCTGAGCTCTGAGCAACAGGGCCGCCGGTTCAATTCCCACATGGGCCAGTGATGCTGCACCCCAGCTGAGCTGTCACTGAGCTGCCAACAGGTGGCAGGATGGCTCAGCTGGTGTAACAAGATTACCTGTTCGATGGTGGGCTATGCCCACCCGCAACTAAGACTGGACTCGGCACTTTGAGCTTAGAGACCACAAGTTGCCAAGGGGCAGCCAGAGGGCAACTGGCGCCCTCCACAATGAAGACTGAAGAACAACTTGGCTGGTCCCCTCCCCCAATTCCCCAATAAAATCTTTTTTAAAAAAATGTAGATTCTGGTCATCTCATAGCCACTCAATCAAAATCTCCAGGGGGCTGGACTGGGAAATCTGTATTGTTTTTAAAGAGCCCCCGGTGACTCAGTTGCAAACTGCTAGGTGCCAAATCTCTCAAGGAGCACTGGCTTTTTGGAACTCCTTGCAATAAAACCTGCTAAAAAGGTGAAAGCTGCACTGAATATAATGTGACCTACGTTTGATGATTCTGGAAACTTGGGCTCTCCCAATGCCTCCAGTTCATCACTACACTGGCAAAACCAGAAAGTAAAGAAATGTTAAAAAGACTCTGAATTGGTAGAAAGCTGGAAAAACCAGCTTTTGTTTTTCTACCAGATTCAAAGAGCTGGTTTTCCCCCAGAGGAAATGCAGATCTTATGCTTGCTTTGAAAAAGGAAAATGTTTAAAAACATGCAGTAGGATTCTCTTTAACTGCTTAGCTCCAAATCAGAACATTATTCGCAGGCCCAAATGCATAAAAAATGTGGACTACTCAAACTGAAAAAAAACAAAGAGAAACTTCACGACGGTCTTAATGAAGAGAAAAGAAGGATAATAGGTTTTAAACTAAGAATGGCATTACACAATTAGATAAAACCACTGTCCTTTCCATGGCAACCACTAAACCATAGAAACGGGGAGAGCTGAAGTCTTTTAACACATGAGGCTGAGGATTTCTCCCTACCTGGGATGGCTTTCATGTGAGAAATAATAGGATATCCTATTAAGAGTCCAACTGGTTTTAGGATTTTAAAACTCTATGAATAACCAAGTCAAAACTAGAAAGTGACCACACCATTTCCCTACTGAAGAAACAGGGGTTTGTGTGTTTGGAGAGAAAACCATTGTCCTTAACAACTGCCAAAATCCTTATTACATAAACACAAGTAACCACCACCAATAACCAGTAACCAAACAAAAGTAATCAGTAACCAAACCAAACCAGTAGCCATTACCAAACAATTATATATATATATATATATATATATATATATATATATATATATATTTTTTTTTTTTTTTTTTTTACCATCCTGCCACCTGTTGGCAGTTCAGCTCAGGCTGGGAATCGAACCTCTGATGCTCAGAGCTCCCACTCTTGAACAAGCTCTTAACCAACTGAGCCACTCTGGCCGGCCCCACCAAACAATAATATTGATGAAGCAGCTTGTCCCCTGAGGCTTCATCAACAGCAATTTAAACCATTAAACTCTAAATTATATCTTAGCTCTGTATTGCAGGGGTTATTATGAGATTCCAAGGTGCAGAGGTTAAATCCTCCCTCCCAAAACATAAACACTATGGCTGGTAAAAGTTGGATATAAGCCTCTAATTTACCATTAAACAATAAAAGTCCTAGCATAAGAATAAAAAAATCAAGGTGGAATTAGTTCTCCAAACACTCAGGTTTATATAGGTGTTTTCAGACAGTCCTAGGCACACAATCACCTACGGGTGTGGCTGTATTAAACATCACAATGAACAGGTAATTAGGGGAACTATTGTGCCCCTTTTTGTTACTGTTTGTTTTGTCTTCTTAAATGCTGATAACTGAAAACGCCTTTTGCATTGCTATTTTAAGAGCCCTTAAAGAGACATTCCTATTAGATGGTGCTAAGCAGAGTTGTACTAACTGGCTTGGCTGTGAGAAACTTTGAAAACAAAATAATTTCTAAGCATTCTGGGAAGGGCTCTCTCTTTTTGTGCATATTATTTTAGCAACTGGTTAAATTATATCAATTTAGAAAATTTACAACCTTTGATTCCAATGTAAACAGTCAGTATAACAGCTGTCTACCTGATCAATATAGAAGTTTTTAGTTTGGAAGCCACGATGTTTGCCACTGAAATTCACATCCATAGAACTATGTTATACTTTCATGGAGCTTTGCTTTAAGTGGCACTATGTACACAGAGTTTATTTGTAGTTCTTGATAGAACTGTACTTAATTCTCAGTATTCTTGACATTTTAAACGCTGTGCTACAATATGTTCTATCTTACTGTAAAAATCTAATTACATATGCTTCAGAATATTCTAAGATGTCCTTTGGATTCTGTAAATGTGAATTTTGACATAATAACTACTAATAAAATTATATTGAAACTGTAAAAAAAGAAAACAAAGTTTTTAGTGAGTTTCTCTTCGTAATTAGATACATTAAAAAGGGTGTCCTAGATTACATGGGAATTTTCTTCAAACACAATCAAATTATTAGTTAGCCCTGCCACATCAATCTGCAATTGTTATACACAATTTTCAAACATTTTCAAACTTAAGAAAAGAACACCTAATAAACTAATTTTTGAATTGTATTCTGACGTCCAGAATTATTAGGAAATTTTCCATAAAGTTTCAGAAACACATGCCATCATCTATTTCCTTGAACATGAAGGAGAACGCAATCAGGAAAAAAGGATATATAAGTTGTCCAACCTGAAATCCCCTAACAGAACAGAAGTATCATTGCCACCCTCCCAACCCTACAACTTTGTATACAGACTCGGCCCAGCACCATGTCCCCTGTGTACTCCTATTCCTAGAAAAATGGTTCAATAAATGGCCACATTTCAGAACTTGAACTGTCACTAGGAAAACCACAGGGCTCCCCCAAACCGTTGCAGCAACAGGGGTGACAGAAAGTATTCTGTCCTCCAAACCACCTGTAAAATGGATGCATATGGTACTTATTGCTTTCACTTGTAACCTGGGATGTTTGTTCATCACGCCGCTGGCCTTTAGCCAGGGTGCAAAGTGACAGTTGTGGGTAAAGTCCTATTTCCAAGCTAACAATATGCCTTCCCTGCGGTAGACTGGGAGGAGCATGGTACACTCTTCCCTGATTACACAGATTTTTTTTTCCCCCTAGAACCAATGACAGACCAACAAAAAGGAGAAAATGTGCTGTTGTTTTTTTATCTTCTGCCAGCCTGAAATCAAGCTCTGCGCAGCTCTGGCTCCCCTGGTCTAGCCATATTTCCCCATGCCTGGTCAAAAGTCTCATGGGCAGCCAGCTGAATAGAGGCCCCACTTCCCTCCTCTCCATCTTAACCACTGGTGACCTCGCACACATCACCTCACACGAAGAGAAGACAACTCTCGAAAGGGGGAACAGTAGACCTGGAGGAAAGAACCACCTTCCTAAACTTCTCCATCAAGCCTCCAAACTACAGCCGCCTCCCTCTTCCAAGAAGCCCGCAGGACCCCTCCACTGGGAAGCAGGGACTCGAAAGGGGGCAGCAGGCCGCCGAGCACCTGACTCAGTTTCCTCTGTCGTAAAGCAGCCTCTTTTCACCACAAGCTAACTAGACCTGCCGGTCCGTAAGGCGTCTGCAGACACTTGAGGCTACACGGCTCCTGTTACTGCCCCTACAGGGGAAATGCCTTCTTTGAAGGGACTTCTAATGGGACAGGTGCGGGCTACTTTGAATGTGGGGACTTGCAGCGAAGCAGGGGCTCCCTCCATCCCATGTAGGGCAAGGAGAGTCCCAGGCCGCGCCCCGCAGGGGAGGCACCCCCAGACTACAGCCTGACGAGACCCGAGGCCGAGCAGCGCCCCCACCCTGGCCTCCCCCCCTGCACCCAACCCCAGGCCTGGCGCCCCGCGGATGCCAGCGCCGCCGCCTCCTCACCTGCTGCGGCCGCCTGCCTGGCCCGCACCTGGGAGGAGTGGGGAGGGGCCGGATCCGGGCCGCCAACGCCGGAGGCAGGGGGGCTCGGGACTCAGCCGCGGCGGCGTCTCTGGGGCTGAGGGGCACTGGGGGGCGGTCGCGACATCCTCGCAGGCTGCCCCAGGAAGTTGGCCCCCCCCATCCATCTCCAGCCGGCCGGCCCGGCCGCT